GCTAGGCATAATATGCAAATTGACTGAATGGCCGAACACCGGAATGACTGTCCATACTACCACACTGTGGTCAGGGGCCCAGCCATCACCCCATGATCACCCTGCAGAGGGGGGCCCAGGCCACTGGCCGGCAAGGTGATCAACTGGGGGTCCCTACTACCACACTATGGTCAGGGGCCCAGCCATCACCCCATGATCACCCTGCAGAGGGGGGCCCAGGCCACTGGCCGGCAAGGTGATGATCACGGAGTCCTGCGATCAATTGCCCTTCAGAGGTAGGCCCAGGCTACCTGGCCAGTGGCACTGCAGCAGGTGGGCAGGGTCTCCCTCTGCGGGATGATCAATCACAGGGCTCCTGGACTGTGAGAGGGCGCAGGCCAGGCTGAGGGCCCTCCCGCCACCACAAGTGCATGAATTTTATGCACTGGGCCTCTAGTATATATAATAAAAGGGTAATATGCAAATTGACCCAAACAGCAGAACAACTGGTAATGACTGGTCACATGACACACACTGACCACCAGGGGGCAGACTCAATGCAGGAGCTCCCCCTGGTGGTCAGTGCACTCCCACAGAGGAAGCTCTGCTCAGCCACAAGGCAGGCTGACGGCTGCCACCACAGCATTGGTGGCGGGAGCCTCTCCAGCCTCAGCAATGCTAAGGATGTCCGACTGCAGCTTAGGCCTGCTCCCCGCTGGCAAGTGGACATCCCTCGAGGGCTCCCGGGCTGCCAGAGCGATGTCTGGCTGCCAGCTTAGGCCGATCCCCTGAGGAGCAGGCCTAAGTCAGCAGGTGGACATCCCCTGAGGGGTCCCAGACTGTGAGAGGGCACAGGCCGGGCTGAGGGACCCCCCCAAGTGCACAAATTTTTGTGGGCCGGGCCTCTAGAATGAAAATATATATATGTATATATATATATTTCAAAGAGGGAGAGGGAGAAAGAGAGATAGGAACATCAATGATGAGAGAGAATCATCAATCATCTGCCTTCTGCATGCCCCCTTCTGGGAATTGAGCCCGCTACCCAGGCATGTACCCTGACCAGGAATCAAACCATGATCCCTGGTTCATAAGTTGATGCTCAACCACTGAGCCACAATAACTGAGCGAAAAATCTATTCTTGAATGTTAAACAGATGAGGAAATCCCAGAAGTTCTAATAACACTAGGTTTAGAACCAACACTTATGTTAGTTGTGTTCTTTTAAAAATTTTCTGTGCACACCTAGAAAATGAATTTGTTAAAGTTGCATATATGGCTTTGTCTAAATTGCAAGTCAAAAAACATTAATTCTTTTACAAACGATCTAAATCATTTGATCAATAGAGGAAAGTCAGATGTTATAATTTTGCTGAGTAAGAGTAGAAACATCACTTGCATTAGAATTTCCTGGGTTTGGGTAAATGTTCATATTCTAGGCCTATAACAGACTGATAGGATTAGAATTTCTGGAATGTGTGCATTTTAACAATCCTGCTGATCACTCTTAAAAAAGGGCCGGGGGTAGGGGGGGGGACAAAATACTGTTTCAATGAATGTTTATCTCAACCTCTAGAGAAGACTTTGTGGGGTATTATTTTATCTCCAATTAAAAGATCCAATTAAGGCCCTACTAAGTTGCTAGAGCTTTCCTAACTCAAGGTGAAGTCCAGGCAACCTTAACTATTGCAAAGTGAGGATAGAGAAGACTCACTGGTAAATCACAAAGAATGCTTTCAGGAGATAGATGGAGTGCTGTTATGACTTTGCTATTATGAAATTTTCCAGGAAAAACCTTGGATAACTCAACCTTTGGAGTGTGGTGAGGAAGAATTTATACTGTATCACATGGACACACACACCAAAAAGCACCAATTCCAGGAATTCTTGATTCAGAGCAAAGAGTGTCAGGCAGCCCACAAAAACATTCTAAAATCACTCCTTTTAACTGCTTATTATATTTAGTATGTCTTGCAGTCTTAAGAGAGAACAAGCTATTTTGTCACAGAAACAAGGAGCAAAGAGTAGAGTGTGAGATGCATTTTTATATAGGATCTCGGGACTGGCGAGTCATATATTGTTTGTATCTCCTTAGTGAGTATAGGAGAAAGTATAAAGAAAAAATGTCATGTGTTTTCCTTATTCTTGCCCTGAGTCCAAAAGAAAAGAAGAAAAACAGAAAATTGAGGAGAAAGAAATGAATACATTGTATGCTGAAGAGAGGGTAAGACTTGAAAGAGGCTCTATATCTACGTTTTCACTACTCACTGTTACACGTCAACTGATGAAGCAAAATCCACTTCTGATATAACTGCATGGACGACAGGGAATGATGTGCTGCTGAGAAATAAATCCTGCCTAGAAGTGTATTTTGGCCAATGAGTATTGCTTTAGGGAGTCAACAGATAGCTCAGTTTGAGTAAATAAATTAGGTAATACTTTACTGATATTAGAAAATAGGCATCTGATTAGTCCAGACAAAGCAGGAATCAAAACTGGTGGCAATAATAAAGAGAGCTGCATGTAACCAGTTGTCATATTTACTTAAATTGGAAACTACAACAACAACAACATGTATTTGAAAGCTGTAGCAACATCTTCCTTGGGCATGAAGGATGGCTCATGAATCTTTTAGACCTATCTCAGAAGGCTGGTGTTCCTTTCCAGGTTTTTACTCCAAACATCCTATGTAAAACTGGCTATGGCTATGGGAGGTTCAAAGAACTTTATAAAATCACAGTGCATTTAAATTCATTTTCTAAAACATCCAGGGTTGTCCTTCCTAAGTGATTGCCTTCCACTCCTGTTTGTATTAAAATATATTTTATTGATTTTTTACAGAGAGGAAGGGAGAGGGATAGAGAGTTAGAAACATCGATGAAAGAGAAACATCAATCAGCTGCCTCCTGCACACCTCCTTCTGTGGATGTGCCCAAAACCAAGGTACATGCCCTTGACCGGAATCTAACCTGGGACCTTTCAGTCCACAGGCCAACTCTATCTCCTGAGCCAAACCGGTTAGGGCTCCACTCCTGTTGTATATTGCATTTTTTCAGGACACATTACAGAAGATGCAGCCTATCTCTTTTGCATTCTATGTCTCACACCTGCCCTGACATCTCCCTGGAACCTTTCTCCCATTTGTCAGTCATCTGTTACCTACATACACTACTCTTTGATAATAATTCTCAGGTTTCCACTAGCAATAGAATTTGATTCTACAGGAGGCTTTTAATCCTTTCAAAGAACAAGTCTTCACTGGAAAAATATAAGGTTTAAGCTGAAGAGAATTTAAGCTTATAAAAGGTTCAGCCTTCTTTTGTTTCTCATAATGTTCATAAATTAAAAATAATCACTTTTGTGAGAGTGGCATCGCCTAAAGAGTAGAAATGAAAGGGAGTAGACTACTTATTAAAATGAATAGCTCAACCAAAAAGTTCTGATTTTATATCCCAAATTTTTATTGAACTAAATGGTATAGGGGCCTTTTGAGATGTTTTTCCTGTTGTCCTTCAGTAGGCCAGTCGGCAATAACTCTAAGTGAAATCTTCAAGTTCTTAAAATACATAAAAAGACAAGATGAATTGAGTATGTGGTTTGAGGATGAAGAATAAGTTATTGTATCACAGTTATACAGGGCTTTTTCAAATCCCTTTTTCTATTTTGTCTTTAGTTAGTAATTTGGACAGACCATTATTGGAATAGGACACAACCTCCAAAATCTTAGAAAATAAGATTTCACCAAGCAGTGGTAAGTTCCATGGAAGCAAAAAGGTTAGTAATATTTTTAATTGCTGCATGTACCATATCATTGCTTGGTATGGAAATGAGAAAGCTAAAACAATTCCTTTGTCACAGATGCAATACTATCTCTTTCACTTAGAGCAAATTTCAAGTACACAATACAGTATTAGCTATAGTAACCATGCTATGTATTAAATCATCAGAACTTCTCATTGTTTAACTGAAAGTTTATACCCCTTGATCAACATTTCCCCATTTTCTCCACCTCCCAGCTCCTCAGAAACCACCATTTCATTCTTTATTTTAATGATTTTGAAATTTACTGTTGTGGGTAGGGGTGAGACCTTTCCCCCGCTCTTTGAACCATCATTGTAGATTCTTTCAGAGTAGAATTTTTATCATGTAACAACATGAAATCTTGCACATAAGAGATCTTATCCTATTTACCAGAGCTTTGGCAAACAATTCTGGTTTGTCATTGACTTTAATCGACCAGTTAGCTAAAATACAACCTAATGGACTCTCAGATGGAACCAAGACCAAGTCTCCTGTTTCAAAACAGAAAAAAAAAATCTAAAGAAAGACAAGGTCAAAACAAACGAGTTATAAAACAGCAATGATCAAAGCAAGTCCCCAAAAGAGAAGAAAACAAGCAAAGAACAATTGTAAGCAAAGATTCATTGCAGACAGATGAGGGCTCTCAGACAGACAGTCCAGAGCTCTCAGACAGAAACTGATTCCCTCCCACGGAGGAACTGGGATTAAAGTCATAGTCTTATCCCTGCCTAAGTGATACCAGAGATGACTCCTTGCTGAGTCCTGGATGGCTAAACAGACCAGAGGGCAGTGATAGAGGACCCCGCCTGTGCCCCCAGGATGACTTACCCAGTCAGACTTGGAGTCCACAGACTCCACAGAGACCTGTTTCCTTCCACCAGCTGAGTGTTTCAGGCCGCTGATGCCTTGAGAGGGAGAGCAGGGAGAGTCCCGAGATAAAGAACTCTCAACAGCCGCTGGGAAATAAATCCCTGTAGTCCCTGTCATGGGGTCAGCCTGCCACAAGCAGCTGGGACCCTCAGCCCAGGCCCTGGGGACCTTACCGGGGTCCACACAGTCCCAGAAGAGTCGCCAAAAATTGTAACTGAAAATCCAGATTCTGCTGCCTGCCACAGCGAACACCAAACTCTGTCACTGAAGTTCTGGATTTTTGGAAACGTCTACAAAGTCAGGATCAACACCAAAACAACAACAACAAACCTTACAACTCGCTGACACCAAGAGTAAACAAAGGCAGGCGTTTTGTAGAGGGGAGACAACATTTGAAGAGGTGGCCAGGATGGGAGGTAAGTTTTTCTTTTTTTCGTTTGTTACAGTTTTTTGCCCTCTTTGTCTCTGGAGCTGGGCTCAGCTGCAGAACAATAGTGGCAGCTACAAATGCAATAGATTCCTTAATCACTAGATGGCACTCGTGAGGATATTTTCAAGACAATTTACTGAATGTGGTTGATAGATGGCAATGGTGTCTTTTTCATTATTAAAAGCGGTATGGAAATTTAATACTATTTAGATACCAGAGGCCCGGTGCACGAGATTCATGCACTGGGCGGGGGGGAATGTCCCTCAGCCCGGCCTGCACCCTCTTGCAGTCTCGGACCCCTTTGGAGATGTCTGACTGCCAGTTTAGGTCCACTCCTTGCTAAGCCAGCAGGTGGACATCCCAGGAGGGGTCCTTAGCGCTGTCATGGAGGTGGGAGAGACTCCCACCACCACTACTGCGCTGTGAGCCCAACTTCTTTCTGAGTGGCGCTCCCCCTGTGGGAGCACACTGACCACCAGGGGGCAGCTCCTGCACTGAGCGTCTGCCCCCTGGTGGTCAGTGCACATCATAGCGACCAGTCATTCTGCTGTTTGGTTGATTTGCTTATTGGGCTTTTATTATACAGGATTCATTAGAAAAAGCAATCTGAGAAATACACCCTGTCTTTAGCAAAATGAACTAACTGCATATGAACAAAAAATTCTTATTAAATGTGAAAAATGTGTTTGTATCATATGGTAATTCAGAATAAAATTCACAAAAATCTCATTTCTCCCATTCCCAACCACAACACAAGCTTTGGACATGTGTTTAATTTTGCATCATAAAAAATATGGAATGATGCCTTAACCGGTTTGGCTCAGTGGATAGAGCATCAGCCTGTGGACTGAAGGGTCCCAGGTTCGATTCTGGTCAAGGGCATGTACCTTGGTTGCGGGTGCATCCCCAGTAGGGGGTGTGCAGGAGGATGCTGATCGATGTTTCTCTCTCATCGATGTTTCTAGCTCTCTATCCTTCTCCCTTCCTCTCTGTAAAAAATCAATAAAATATATTTTTAAAAAATATGGAATGAGAAGAAGAAAAAAATCATACTTGTTTCAACACTCTCTTTTTTATATAACTATCACTTAATATTCTTGAAGTGTAACTGCAGGACCTACATGATTTCCATATTCTCAGGTATCTTTCATAGAGTATTCTCTATGCTTATCCATTAAATAAAGGATTTGTTCCCTAGAAGCCACATCCTAGCACGGATTCAAACTCAAGCCAAGGTTTTAATTATACTGTCTTAATTCTTCTGCAATCCAGTAAAAGGATTACACTCTATTGCTCAGCAGTTATTGGGGGGGAAAGATTACTTTCTATTATCTATAACCAATCTCATCTTAGTTTCAAATCCTCCTTCTCACTATAAAAATAATTTAAGCCTATAGATTAAAGATCACTTGTCTCTTTCAGTGTTAAACAGTGACCAGTAAATTTAATGACGATGGAAACTTCCTGTCAGGGCTGTTTCTCCCCTCTCAATTGATCTTCGAATTTCTCCTTCCCAAACGGGCCTATGACAGGGAAGTTCAGTGTCCACATGTTGGTGAGGGGAGGCTCTTCTCATCTGGCCGATGTTCTGTTTCCTTGAGCTTTGCAGATCTCCACCAAGACCCTCTCATTCCCTCTGGACTCCGGGTGTCTGTTGCATGAAACTGGCAACTGCTGCTGGTGATGTGGGTCTTGCTTTCCCAAGTGTCTCAAGTTCTTCCTGTTCAGGAGCCTCCTTATCCTGACCCGAGGTCTCTTCGCAGATTCTCTTAGCACTTCACCTGTTACAGGAGCTTAATGGAATTTCTTTATATTCTAGAAAACGTTCTAAACCTTATCACACCCACCACACCTCTGTTTTCCCACAACAGTGTTTTCTAATGTAGTTATATGGGGTTTTGACAGCCAGGAATGTCCAGAGAAACATTAGAAATGCATGCAGGAGTCAGAAGTTTTTCATGAACTGTCCTCAAACGAGAAAATGCCTAGTGTCTCTGGCTTCTGCCCACCCTGTTATATTGTGACAAGCAACAATGCTCCTACACATTCCCAGCCCCCACCCAGAACCACTTCCCTAGCAACACTTGGAGTCTATGAATAGCCAAGGGCATGAGTCAAGAGCTATCCCACCAAACTCTGCTCTCAGCTAGTTCTGCATCATTGCTGTTCTGCCATTGGGTCATCATGATGCTTTCATTTAAATAATTTTGTGAGACATTTTAAGTTAGGTTCTCTCAGGAAACAG